TCTCTAGATCAAGTTTTACAACCTTTGAATCAAATTTCAACTCGAAAAAGTATATACTTTGCATTCACAAGTTTAAATGCAATAAATATCCAAATTTAATGGTTTAAATGAGATAAACGTCTAAAAATTAGCTCGTAACTTTTCCGAATAAATTGTTCCCAGTAGTCTATCCTAATTACACCCTTCATGGTGAATGCCACCGCGCTAATTGTGAATAGTTCCTTAGTTTTTAAAGTCCAAAGTCTCACATTTTAATAAAAGAATAACGAGACACACTAGAAAACCATGCTTGCTTTTATGCACATGCCACGAAAATTAACAGCAGCCAATTCTAGACCATGACGATGTAGTGGACTATTGCACAAGAGAAAACAAGATGAGGAAGTCTTGGGTTCTAGAAGGGGGCGGCTCAAGCAATTTAAGGTTTAAATTGGAAATAGTAAATTGAGCTCATTCTATTTTTAATATTATTTTTTAAAAAAAATATATTTATTTTTAATTTTTTATGTGAGAGGAAACCAAAAAAAATGTGTTAACGTTGTCGAGAAAGAGATTTCGATTTTTGTTTTTATTTTTTATCACATAGAGGGAGAAAATATTTAATTTTAACTTTTATTTTTTTTTATTATTTTTTTTTTACCAGAGAGAGAGAGAGAAGGAGTGAGAGTAAATATGAGTTGACTTTTGAGTATTTTTTTAATTTCTAAATTTTTAATGTTATGAATTGGATTATATGCTCAAATTATTAAAATAAAAAATTTGATTGAATTTAATTTTTTGGAGCTTTTTTGTAAGGCTTAAAATTTAATGAATTTAAATTTTTTTGTGAGCTAGTAATATACCTAAAATTGTAAAATTTTCTAAAAATTTAGGGTCTAAAACCATATTTTTTTTCCCATACTGATGGGCCGCCCTGGGTACTAGAAATATTCACCTTGAGTATGAAAGAGAAGTATATTAGGACCATGGAAGCCTTCCTTTGGGAGAAGTTCATCATTATGAGACAGATGATGGTCCTTGGTCTCATGAAGAAGAATTGAACGTGTTACCAAGGGCAGAGTTTGATCTATACCTGGAGGGCTTTGATGGTAGCTCCCAGCACAGGTCGAATACAGGAACTGGGCTTTCAAGTATATGAGAAGATGCTTAAAAGAAAGTATGCCATGGATAAGAATACCAAGCAAAATTTTGAAAACTACCGGAAGAATGCTCTTATGATCCATGATCAGAGGAATGGCGAAGATTTCTTTTTGCCAAAGAAGTCAAGAGTGAGCCACTCCCAATATGCGAAGATTGGAAGGACCGTTGAAAGTAAAGAACAGATAGTGTGTTGTATGTTGTACTCTCCTTAATGTGAGTGTTGTTCATTGTCTCATATATATATATATATATTGTTGCTATCAATTACAAGGGGTAAATAGCAAGAAAGGAGGAAAGAAATATTACAGATTACGTTTATGGGTCACTAGCCATTGGGAGTGATTTCAGGAGAACTTGTGTATGTCCATAGCAGAAGGCTTGTGCTCTGTAATTAAAATGTGATCAAATTACCAGGATTTGCTCTTTCTTTTTTTGGTTCTTTAGCACCATTAGGAGAATCACTTTCAATATGCCCCTGCAAACTGAGCTGATTGGTGAGGTTCAATTAGGCACGAAGTCATTGAAGATTGAATTGGGAAAGAGGCTTGGTGAAGATGACAGCTAGTTGGTGAAAAGACGAAACACGCCGAGTTTGAAGGAGGCCAAGAGCAACACGTTCTCAGACATAGTGGTAGTCAATCTCAATATGTTTGTTACGGGCATAGAACACTGGATTGACAATCATGTAGAGAGCACTTAAGTTATCACGGAAGAGAACAAGAGTTTTGTTTAGTCGAACACCAAGGTCACGAAGAAGGGAGGCAAGCCATGTTAGTTCTGCTTCGGTGTGAGCCATTGAGCGGTATTCAGCTTTAGTGCTTGATCGAGAGACTGTATTTTGTTTTTTTGACTCCGGGGAAATGCAATTACTACCCAAAAAAGGGCAAAATCCAGTGGTGGATTGTCGAGTCTCCGGACATCCAGCCCAGTCGGCATCTGCGAATTCACATAAATAGAGTGTGGAATTGGATCGTAGTTGGACACCTAGGTCAGTCGTACCCTGAACATAATGGAGAATGCATTTGACNTCCAGCCCAGTCGGCATCTGCGAATGCACATAAATAGAGTGTGGAATTGGATCGTAGTTGGACACCTAGGTCAGTCGTACCCTGAACATAATGGAGAATGCATTTGACCATCTGGTAGTGATCCTCAGTATGGCTATGCATTAATTGGGACACAAAATTGACACTGAATGTTAAATTAGGCCGTGTCAAGGTGAGGTATTGAAGGCCACCCACAATGTTATGGTAATGTGCTTGGTCAGAGAAAGGAATTGAGCTCACAAAGTTCTTCGTTTTTTGAGTCATCGGTGTTGTAATCGGCTTGCAATCTTTCATCTGTGCATGTTCAATGATATCTAGAGCATATTTGTATTGAGATAACACTAAACCATTAAGAGTAGTAGTCATTTGAATACCAAGAAAATAATGTAAAGAACATAAATCCTTCATAGCGAACTCAAGCTGGAGTGCATTAATGAATTCTTCTAGTAAGCAAGTATTTGAAGCAATTAAAATTATATCGTCAACGTAGAGTAATAAAATTAAGGAGCAACGATTGAAATGACAAATAAAAAGGGATAGATCGAACATGCTACAAAAGAATCCAAAGGCGAGTAGAAAGCTACTGAATCTATCAAACCATGNACGAAGTCATTGAAGATTGAATTGGGAAAGAGGCTTGGTGAAGATGACAGCTAGTTGGTGAAAAGACGAAACACGCCGAGTTTGAAGGAGGCCAAGAGCAACACGTTCTCAGACATAGTGGTAGTCAATCTCAATATGTTTGTTACGGGCATAGAACACTGGATTGACAATCATGTAGAGAGCACTTAAGTTATCACAGAAGAGAACAAGAGTTTTGTTTAGTCGAACACCAAGGTCACGAAGAAGGGAGGCAAGCCATGTTAGTTCTGCTACGGTGTGAGCCATTGAGCGGTATTCAGCTTTAGTGCTTGATCGAGAGACTGTATTTTGTTTTTTTGGACTCCAGGGAAATGCCATTACTACCCAAAAAAGGGCAAAATCCAGTGGTGGATTGTCGAGTCTCCGGACATCCAGCCCAGTCGGCATCTGCGAATGCACATAAATAGAGTGTGGAATTGGATCGTAGTTGGACACCTAGGTCAGTCGTACCCTGAACATAATGGAGAATGCATTTGACCATCTGGTAGTGATCCTCAGTATGGCTATGCATTAATTGGGACACAAAATTGACACTGAATGTTAAATTAGGCCGTGTCAAGGTGAGGTATTGAAGGCCACCCACAATGTTATGGTAATGTGCTTGGTCAGAGAAAGGAATTGAGCTCACAAAGTTCTTCGTTTTTTGAGTCATCGGTGTTGTAATCGGCTTGCAATCTTTCATCTGTGCATGTTCAATGATATCTAGAGCATATTTGTATTGAGATAACACTAAACCATTAAGAGTAGTAGTCATTTGAATACCAAGAAAATAATGTAAAGAACATAAATCCTTCATAGCAAACTCAAGCTGGAGTGCATTAATGAATTCTTCTAGTAAGCAAGTATTTGAAGCAATTAAAATTATATCGTCAACGTAGAATAATAAAATTAAGGAGCAACGATTGAAATGACAAATAAAAAGGGATAGATCGAACATGCTACAAAAGAATCCAAAGGCGAGTAGAAAGCTACTGAATCTATCAAACCATGCTCTAGGAGCTTGTTTTAAACCATAAAGGGCTTTATTTAGTTTGCAAACATGATTGGGGAAAGATATATTGACAAAGCCAGGTGGTTGTTCCAAGAACACGGATTCATTTAGAAAATCATGAAAAAAGGCATTTTTGACGTCTAATTGTTGAATCTCCCATTTTTGAACTAAAGCCAAGGTAAGAACTGTACCTGATTTTATTATTGGAGAAAATGTTTCAACGTAATCAATGCCTTCTATTTGATGGTAACTTTTGGCCACCAAACGTGTCTTTAAGCGATTTAGGATCCATCGGCATTGAGTTTCGTTTTGAAAACTCATTTGTAGCCGACGACATGCATATCAGGTTGGCGGGGAACAAGGGGCCAAGCAAGAGCCAAGCCACATAGGGAGGAGGGTGGACACTTGCCCCTCCTGAGTTTTTGAATCCCTTTATTATGTATTATTAAGGGATGATAGTTTGGTTATTTTAATGCATTTTTCCCCCTTGATTTTTGGAAATGTTTACAACGGTCCTGACTTATTTTTAATTTTTGCTCGTTAGTGGCCCATTGCCCCCCTCCCAAAAAAAATAAGGTTTTAGTTTCTGGATTGAGTAAATCAACAAAATAAATGATGATTTCAATTAGTTTTCGCAATATAAAATGAATAATGATTTTGTCATAGATAATGTCGTTTTGTACATTGAAAAGAATTTCTAAAAATTTAGTTTACGAATTTTGAGATTTGAAATGACATCGTATTCTATTTTATTATGTAATTGAGTTGAAATGTAATACCATAAGTTATTTTATAGTTTGTTGTTCATATTTTATTTAAGTTAAGTGAAAACTGGTTTATTGTTTTAATAGTAATCTAGTGTTGAATCCTAAAATATTGTTTATGCTTGGAAATGTTTTAAACAGTGAAATTTTTTTCTCTGATAGTTTGCCCCTCTAATGCAAAATCCTAGCTCCGTCCCTGGGACCAAGTGTTATTTTGATGAAGTGCCTCTAATTCCTTGTTCATGGCATGAGTCCACCTGTCATATTTTAAAGTTGAGCGAATACTCTTGGGTTCCTGAGGAACAGAGAAAAGTTTATGAAGGTTAGCATACTTAGGATTAGGTTTATGAATACCTATTTTTTGCTCGTGTGATCATGGGATGAAGAGGCATAATTGAGTTGAACTCAGAAGCAACGATGGTGTCATCGGTGAGTGAGGAGGCAACAATAGAGTTAGTGAGCTCAGTAAGAGGTTCACAATCAATAAGGGGTGAGGCTCTGATAGAGGTACTCGTTGGCTCAAAAGGTAGAGACTAATCCTCAGTTTTGAGCATGGTGGGGCATATGGTAGGTGCTAAATGGTAGTCGATGTTGACAACGGTGTCATGATCTAGTTGTTCGGAAATTACTGGTAGCATAGAAGACATGGTTGTATCATGAGTATCCTACAACACTGAGATATTGGGTGTATCTGAAATATTAGTGGTGTGTGAGGTGTTAATGGTGGTAATGGTAGGCCATGATTCTAACCACTCGGAGAAGGTTGATATCACCTTAGGAGATGCAGAAGGTGAATGTAAACTTGCTGGATTTTGAAAAGGAAAATTTCCTTCATCAAAAACTATATGCCTAGACACATACATGCGTCTAGTGGGGGGATAAAAGCATTTATAGCCTTTGAATCTATTGTTATAACCCATGAACACACATGGCAAAGACTTGGGGTCAAATTTGGTGGTTTGAGCATTTCAGATATATGGAAAAAAATTTGATCTAAACACCCTTGAAGGGTTATAGTCTTAATGCCAACCATGGAGCTTAAAGAAGGGTGTTTCATTGTCAAGCGTAACAGAAGGAATATATTGATCAAAAATACTGCCATGGACCCAAAAACGTTTAGGCATACCTCTATGAAACAAGAAAGTAAGCCCCAATTCACAAATTTTTCTGTGGCAGCATTCGGCAATGGCATTTTGCTTTGGTGTGCATGGACATGAAACTTGGTGGATGATTCCTTGTTCCTACAAATAATTCTTCAAATCATTGGTAGCAAATCGCCACCGCCATTGGATTGAAAAATCTTGATTTTTTTCGAAAATTGACGGTCAAGAAATTTAACAAATAAGAAAAAAGAAGTAAAAAATTCAGACTTGCATTTCAAGGGAATAAACCACATATATCAAGTAGATTCAACAACTAAGATAGCATAATAAGAGAACTTTTCAATAAAATTGATCGGGGCTGGACGCCAAAGATCACAATGTATTTTTTCAAGTAAACCATAATTTTTATTTGGAGAACTAAGAAAAGGAAGGCGACTAAATTTGCCCATTTGACAACTTTCACATATAGATGTGATTTTATTTTTGCCGAGAACTTTGATTAGCCCGCAAGATTGTAGATTGGACATGGCAGCTGCCTGTGCATGGTCTAGCCTCTGATGCCAAACATCATTGTTCACAGCTTGAAATCGCACTGAGAAGTGGGCTTCAAGCTTGTTTGAGATAAAGTAAAGGTTACCTCGTTTGTGTCCTTGCAATAGTATTTGATTCATGGCCCTGTCCTTTATAGTGAAACCAACACCAAAAAACTCACAATAAAGTGGGTAATCAATAGTTAATTGTCCTACTGAATAGAGGTTATTTTCAAGATTGGGTGTACTAATAAAACATTATAAAGTTGAATAATGTGAGTTATTTCCTATCATTATTTCTCCAACATGCGTAATTGCCAAAAAATGACCATTACCTATCATAACATGATCCAAGCTAGTATAAGGTCTTAAATTTTTTAGAATACCTGGGGTGGATGTCATGTGCGCCGAAGTTCCTGATTGTCCATTCTTGATCTTCTGCCCCACTGTTGAGAGTTAACGTAGTCCCTGAGGCACATCGTTAGGCTGATAGGCATTATCAAATCAGTACCAACACTTTAACGCTTCATGCCCACGCTTGCCACAAATTTGGCAGCTAACATCTCGATTGCGTTCTTTGTTTTGAGTTTGCAGAGGACCAGCAGACTAATTTGTAGAAGACGCAACATGATTGTTTTGGTTCGTATGATGGAATCCCTTGCCTTTAGAGGAAAAACCGTTGTGATTGGGACGTCTTCCACCTCACTAATTGGTCTAGTTGGAATCCTTAGTTTTGTGTCCAAAAAATGCAACATAGGTGCTAGAATCAGCATGAAGGTTGATACAAGTCTCATAAATTTGGAGGTGAGAGATGACCTCGCTGTAAGAGGGCATAGGCGGCTTGATCATGGAAGTTGTGAATGACTCATACTTAGCACCATGGCTATTAGGAAGGGAAAATACCTTTGTTTTGTCACTCAATGGGCTTCTGATCGCAACCAAATTGGCACAAATACTTTTAAATTGTCGTAGATAATCATTAAGAGAAGTAGAGGAATCCTTTCACATGTACGTAAGTTGTTGTTGAAGTTGAAACTCACACTCCTGTGAAGCTTGTGCATAGGCTTCTTCGAGAGTTGTCCACACCTTAGCGAAGGTCTCAAGACCAATTACTAAGCCAAAGGCCTTCTCTGTGAGAGTCCCAATTATCCAACCTCCCAATAAGTAGTCTGATTTTTTCCACTTCACATAACCTGGATTGGTCTCTTTGAGTCCATCATTAGAGGCTTCAGAACTAGAGACAAACGGAGCTGGCATGGGGGTTTCACCAGTGAGGAGCCCCACAATGTCTTGGCTCTCAGCCAATCCAAGCACTTGCTCACGCCATAAAGGGTAATTGTCCTGCTTCAAACAAAGAATGACGAAGTTCCCTATATTGATGGACACGGTAGCCATTTTTTTTAAGACGGATCAAAATTCAGTGGGGTTAGCCTTGTGGCTCTGATACCACGTAGAAAGTGAAGAACAGATAGTGTTTTTGTGTTGTACTGTCGTTCATGTGAGAGTTGTTCATTGTCTCATATATATATTACTACTATCAATTACAAGGGGTAAATAACGAGAAAGGAGGAAAGAAAAATTACAGACTATGTTTTTAAGGAGGACTTGTGTATGTCCATACCAGAAGGCTTGTGCTCGGCAATTAAAATGTGATCAAATGATAGCTTGCCATGATTTGCACTTTATTGTTTTGGTTCTTCAGCACCATTAGGGGAATCACTTCCGATAAGGACATCTAATGAGATGGTCACTCAAATGATTTCTAACCACAGAAATTTGTCGATATCTATGCCACGACATCTAAGCAAATCCCACAAATCCATAGAGATATAAAAAAGCGCTTGGGACCAAGTCCTCCAAAGGTTCATGTTTCACATCTTTTAGTGAAAAAGACCAAACAATCAGTGAAGAAACGGTTGGAACCTGCTCCTCCGACGGTTCATCGTCCTCTCCATTGGCTAAATAATATTCAACCATACAAGTTGCCAAGAATTCAAGATGGTTCTGATCGAAGTCTTCATGATCAAGGGGGTGACCGCTCTGAAGGTAATGTCACTCCTCCAAAAACTGAGCCATTTGAAATCTCTGAGGACTTTAAGCATATGGTGCATAGTGCCTTTTTCAAGTTTGTGAATCAGTTGAACGAGAATATTAGTCAAAGGAGAAGACTAATGGAGCAAGGAAAAGGTGGTAGTTTAAGGTGCAGCATATGTGGTAGGTCGTCTTCTACATTACGACATGTTTTCATAGTTGCAACAATTTTTTCTGACATTGTTTGATTGCATTTGTTCTTACTCTTTATGTTGCAATCGAGTAAGCACCATTTAATAGATTTTGCTTCATTTGTTACATGATAAATTACCCAGCTAAGGTTTGTATTAAATTAGAGTTCTAGCTGCCTGCATTTTGGGAAGCTTTGAGATTCAGAGTATTTTTTATTTGGGGAGTATATAGAGTGGATTATTCCCATGGAATGGGAAGTTGGTGAAGAAACTAATGGCTGAAACTTTCCAAGCTCTCTGTACTGCAACAGAAGTTGTGAAAGTTTCCTGGCAACAACTTGGCACATGCTCCAATTATCTTTTGTTATGTTTACAATACTCTTCTTATGGTTGGCAGCTGGCAATTGCCCAGCGGATGTGGGAAGAACTTAAATTTTTTTTTTTTTTGGGAGTAAAAATTGAAATTAGTTACAATACTTGTAGAACATTGGTTAGAAGGATTGATAAGATGAGAGGAAGAAGTCCAAGAGAGAAAACTAATTCTGCTTTATGCTTAATCGTTGGGAAAAGGAAAAGGGTCATGGTTCAACATCGTGATATCGAGCATCAACTCGAAGGATAGTACGACACATCGGTTTCGGCATCATAGAACCATATCAACTGATTTGAAGACAATGACCTGGCCAATTCATGATTGTCTCATGTGAGACTAGTGGTTTACAAGGAATAGAACTCTGTCAAAACAAAATGTATCGATTTGGATATGACTGGCCCAGTAGTATTGTGTCAACCGATACTATGAACCATGAGGAAAGGTGGCAAGGTATCACGGTAGTGGTGGTTGTCTTGACAAGATGGTGGTGTTGGCGACAGGGTGGCAATGGTGGGTTGGAGCCAAATAGAGAGGGCTGAGGGAAGGTGAAATGATAAAGCAAACTATTGGGATGCATAATGAAGTTTTCCTTTTAATTTCTTCATTCAAACTAGTAACCCTTCACCAACTGTTAAATGAACAAAACAACTTTCTTTCGCAATTTTTTTATTTGCCTAAACTTACTAGGGGCCTATTGCGATTTTAAATTGCTGAGCTCCATTGGTTATCAGAGTTGTTGTTTGGTAGCTTGTGGCTGGAATTTTATGATATTCTTGCTTGGACATATATTCTCTGATATCTTCAATTGTTGGGAAGGTTGTGCTTGATCTCCTGCTTGTTTGATGCTTCTGATTAGTGATTCTATTTGTTTGTTGGAGTGCTAGAGCTACCTTCACTAAAATTTTGGGTGGATGAACGATTAAGGATTATGGTATTAGCCATAGACTCGGAGCACTTTGACATGCATCAGTACTAGATTTGTGGAACGTTATCACACTCAAAAAAAGTAGTTGAACAAAACAAGAGATTTAGGATATATCGTGGCATCACAAAATGTTTTTGGCCTATTCGGTGATGATAAGTCGACGACTTGGGGTTGACCCGAAGACTTGTTACACGAGACTCTGGGTTTAAGCGTGTAACATCCAATGTTATTGACTCGGAAGGTGCCGAGTTGGATATGACTCGGTCGACTCGTATTGGTGTCGGTCGATACCCTGAACCTTGCTTCCCACAAAGCTCATTTCTTGAAAGAAAATGTCTTTGGCAATTGCCAATGACAAGAATATGATTTGCACTTCTCTCTATCTACCCCCTCATCCCACAACATCCAAAACCTCCTCTTGATTTTTCTCCAGTCGTGCATGGTGAATATTTCTACTTGGGATTTTAGTTGTGTTTAGCCTAAATGCTTTATTCACTTCATTAGTCCTGTTCTTTCATATTTTCTAGAATATCTAGAGGCCTTTGGTAATCTTTTTGACATTGTTCCAGTTTCTTTTGTACTTTGTTATATTTTTGGAGAATGCTAGTCATATATGAGATAGCACTAGACATTAGGTAATGCATGATTTGCGATCTAGAGACATGCCTACATTTGTTGTCTGGAAAAATATAACAGCCTTTTGAAATGTTGATACAAGAAGTTATAGCCTTTGTTAATCTCTGATTTCGAACCCATTGTCCTAGAAGTGACGCTTCTGTAGTTCATCCCAGTTGCTTTTTGTTTTGTATTCTATCCCTCATTATGATTTTTGTCTTACCTGTCCGTGACTTCGAAGAGTTTGTAAACACACAGAACTTGATGAGGCATGCCTTCACGTCCCCGAAAGGTTGGTTCAGATCGCAGCACTTGGGTTTTCACAAAGCACTTTGTGCACTACTAGGATGGAAAAGCGCAGCAACCCCCAACAGTCCCTAGGTTTGTGAGATACTGTATAATGCTAAAACCTTAGCTATAAAGAAGGATCTCATTATTTAGGCCCCAGTTGTGATCATTCATAACAGTTCCATAGGAAACTACAATCCAGATGACTGAATTGTTGTATCCATTGAAGTGCTTGAGGCTATACTCAGAGGTAAGAGTTTGTGTGGATGATTAGAACTATAATTTTTCGCTGTTTTTTTTTTTAAACTTTTCCTGTTTGATATGGATGTGAAATTTATTCCATTTTCTTTTACATCTCAACGAAAACATGCTCTGTTTTCAGTTCAGGAGTTATTCTAAAATATAATAACTTCAAATAATATTATTAAAATTGATGAGCCCAGATCTAATTAGGCTAGAATTAGTAAATCAAGCAAGCCCATATCCATTAGGAAGGCATCCCAAGTCCGGTTCATCAATCCGATTCAATCCGAGATCCAAGGAGTCCATGAAGAAAAGAGCACGTAGGGGAGAGATCATTAGGATGAATACACAAGAATTAATTGTACTTACCTTTTGTAACTATCCTCCCCGAAGAATTAGTGCTCACACACTCACGTCACCGCCTCACCATGCCTATAAATTGTAAGTCCTCTTCACATGAGAGGACACATCTTGACATCTCACCACACATCTCTACATCTCTCTACACACACATCGATTCTCTCCCTCCTAGCTATTGTATCTTTCTCGAAGCTAACCATTTCTTTCTCCTCGTTCACCCTACTTCATCAATAAAGACCCCCCGCCACCGTTGTCATTTCTCATAGTGGAGTAGGTCACTCGGATCGAACCACTATATATCTGTGTGTCAACTCGATATTTATATTACTGTCATTGATTGTTTTATTTATTGTCCATTAATTACACCTTATCACACACTCAACCGTTAATTTTGCATGAGACTATTTTGTGCATCATCAGTTTGACGTCGTCTGTAAGAAACGCTTAAGTTTTCTACTACCTTGTTACTCTATGGCAATCAGAACTAGGTCGATGAGTCAACAACCAGGAGACAACAACCCTACCCCCTAGGAGAAGGCTTCGCCTCCCCTCGCACCCTCGAAACCATCCGTTATGGCGACCCCTATGGTTGGGTAACAGTTTTTGCAGACCATGCAGCTGCTAGTAAACCATAACTAACAAATCATCCAGTTAATGCTCATCTCGAGAGATGTCACCCCTCAGCCTGTAGGAGGAGCACCACTCCCTCTGTCACGGGGTTAAATTTCTCACTAAATTTCTGCCTCGTGATGACACTAAGATCCACCACTTAGTCTCAGCCAAACACTCAGAATGCACACAAAATGCACATAGAACAGAGAATGGACAGTAAGTAAACACACAGACAAGACACACAAGATTTACAGGCAACAACCAAACCTTTCTTTCTTAATAAAGTATAAGGAACTCAACCTTGGGGTCTGTTTACAAAAACGTGTCAACTCTCTTGTTGCACTACAGACCCCCAAGCACCCTATTTATAATATTCAGGGTGGCAGTTACAAGTCAACTGCCTAGGCACATGTCTGTAATTCAAATGCTACCAGAGGTCTGTTGTGATTGGATGACAGGGAAGTTATAAATGGTGTATGCATGCTTGTCTGAATCTGACAGAGATCCCACATGTAGTGCACTTGCCAGAAAACTGCCCATAACTGCCTCCATCTATAGAGCACATGCCCAATTTCCTCATATGTTGTGCATGTGTCAAGAGCCCTCAACATTCGAATTGCATTACATTCGTGTCTAACCATGGCTCATTATTCAAGCTAGCATCGCCCTACAATTCAAGTCACTCGCTTCCTTGCTTGCATGCTGACTTGTGCCCATGTGCATAAACTGCCTCCCTCAGTCATGCATGGGACTTCTGCCATTTTGGCTAAGGCATGGGTGCCTATGGGCGAGGCTACCCGATGACAAATGCTGCCAATGGCTAAGGGCGTAACAAACCACCCCCAAAAGAAGAGGTCGATGTCCTCGTCGAGAGGTTGTCCCAATACTCCTTGATTTGTTTCTCAAACTACCAAAAAGTCACATCTCGTTCCCAACTTGCGTCTGCCTCGGGACCCCTTTTCCAATGCACTAGAAAATCAGTCTTGCAGTTCTTCTTACTTTGACCCATGGTCCGGTAAGACAAAATCTTGTCGACCTTTCTGTCAAATTGTTTCCTGATGATAGGCGGAGCCCTCCTAGCTTGCTTTCTTCCAGCATTCAATAAGTCTTCCTCAAAAGGCTTCAGAAAACTCACATGAAAAGTTGGGTGAATTTTCAATCGATCAGGCAGCTTCAAGCGATAGGCAACATTCCCGACCTTCTTCATCACCTCGAAGGGGCCATCGTATTTGGGAACTAGCCCACAGTGTACTACCTTGCTATTGATCCTTTTCCACAACGCAGGAGTCAATTTCAGCAAAACTAGATCACCAACTTGAAATTCCAGTGGTCTACGGCCTTGATCAACATACTTCTTCATTCATCGGGCAGCTTTGGCCAAGCTGTCCTTTGCCTCATCAAGCAGCTCCTACTTGGAACGGGCAAATCGATATGCAGTATGAAATTTTCCTCCGGTCCTCTGTTTTACCACTTCATGGGGAGTAAGTGGCTGATGTCCCATAGCCAACTCATAGGGACTCGTTCCTGTTGCTAAAGATCTATGCAAATTGTAGCAAAACTGGGCAGTGTCCATAAGCTCCACCCAATTTTTCTGACTTGCAGTGACATAGTGCCGCAGGTAATCCTCCAACAAGGCATTAA